GCAATTCTTTTCTGAAATAAAAAAGAACTCTCAGAACTCGTAGCAGATGAAGTAAAGAAGCAACTACAGAAACATAGGCAGGAAACCCAATATGAATAAAAATTCAGATACCTCCTGAAACCTGTAGGATGCAATGAAAGCTGTCTTAAGAGGAAAGTTTATAGCGGTAAATTTGCACATTAGGAAAGTAGAAAAAGCCCAAATAATAATCCTACATTGCATTTCAAGCTCCTCGAAAAAGAAAAGCAAGTCAAACCCAAATCCCAAAAATATAAGGGATTATGAAAGTTAGAACAGAAAAATATGCATTGGAGACAAAGAAAACAATAAAGTATGAAATTTAAAGTATAAATGAATCAGAGTTGGTTCTTTAAAAGGACAAATAAAATTTCTACACCCTTAGCCAACCTAATCAAAAAAGGAAAGAAAAAAATTCAAATGCATACAGAAAGAATAAAAAAGGCAAATTCACTACAGACCCAATAGAAATTCAAAAGACAGGGACAACCAGATAGCTCAGCAGATTAAAGCTCCTGCTTAGGCAGAGCACAGTAGCCAGGGTTTGATCACTGCATGCTGTGCCACCCCTGCTCCCAAGGCATGCTGAGATGGTGATTGAGACTGGGTACGGTGGCGCGTGTCTGTAATCCCAGCACTTGGGAGGCTGAGAATAGAAGAATCACTACAAATCTGATTTATGTAGTGAGATCCTGTAGGCCCTATACTAAATACATAGCAAAAAGATATTCAGAAGATCATCAATACCTGCCTCCAAAATCTTTATTCTCACAAGATGTGAAACACAGAGAAAATAGACAGTTTCCTAGATACATATGAAATGCCAAACCTGAATCAAGAAGATAAACAAACTCTGAATAACCCAATAATAAGAAACAAAATTGAAAATGTAATAAAAATCCTACAAACAAAAGCTCAGGTGTTGATGGAGTCAGAGCAGAATTCTATAAGAAATTTAGAGAGATTTAATTCGAACTTTTCTCAAACTGTTGTTCTTGGTTCTATTGATGTAGTAATTACACATATATGGATTTGTATGTGTACTTTTCTCAAACTCTTCAATGAAATTGAAACAGGAGTAACTCTCCAAAACTCATTCCTAGAGGCAAGTATTACTTTGATTTTATTTTTATTTTATTTTTTTGCACAACTGGGGATTGAACTCAGGCCCTTGTGCTTGCCAGGGATGTGCTTATTCTGCTGAACCATCTCCCTGGCCCTGTACTCTGATTTTAAAACCAGAGAAAAATCCAGCTGAAAAGGAGAAGTACAGTCCAATATCACTAATGAATATAGATGAAAAAATCCTCAATACAGTAATAGCAAAAAGAATAAAACAAATCATCAATAAGCTTATATAAGCTTCTAGATCAAATGGGCTTCATTTCAGACATGCAGCAATGGTTCAACACATACAAATCCATATATGTGTAATTACTACATCAATAGAACCAAGAACAAAAACCACATGATCATCTCAATAGATTCAGAAAAAGCCTTTGACAAAGTCTAAAACTCATTCACGATAAAAACCCTATGGAGAATTTGAATAGATTGTCTATATTCCAATCTGATAAAAGCCATATATGAAAAACAAACAGCCTACAACATACTAAATAGACAAAAACTAAAGGGTTTCACTTTAAAATCAGGAACAAGTGACAATATCCACTGTCTCCACTCCTACTCAATTTAGTTATGCAAATATTAGCTAGAGTAATTAGAGAAGGGAGAGAGACAAATAGAAGAATAAAAATTGGACAAGAAGTGAAATTATCATTTCTGTAGATGACATGATACTCTCTACACAGAGGACCCCCAAAACTCCACTAAGCGTTATGTAGATTTAATCACCAAATTCAGCAATTTAGCAGGATACAAAGTCAAGGCCTAAAAATCAGTAGTAATTTTGTACACAGAAAATGAACACACTCAGAGAGAAATTAGGGAAACTATGACTTTCCGAATAACATCCACAAAAAAAGAATGAAATACTTATGAATCAATTTTGCAAAGGACATAAAATATTTATACAGTGAAAATTGTAGTGCTCTGTGAAAAGAGATTAAAGAAAATTGAGAAAATTGAAAAATATTTCATAGTCCTGGATAAAAAGAACCAAAATTGTGATAATGGCCATACTTCCAAAATTGTTATACTGATTCAATGCAATTCAAATTAAAATATCATTAGTATTCCTCACAGAGTCAGACAGAACATTCCTAAAGTTCATCTGGAACCAAATGAGACCAAGAATATCAAAAGCAATCCTGGAAAACAAAGAAAAGTCAGGAAGTATCACAATCCCTGACCTGAAAATATACTATAAAGCTACTGTGAGAAAGTCAGTATGGTGCTAGCACTGAGACAGAACTGAGGATCACTGGAACAGATTAGAAGATGCGTACATGCTACAACCACACTCAACCACCTTATCTTTAATAAAGAGGCCAAATAGACTCACTGGAAGAAAGATAGCCTCTTTAGTAAATGGTGCTGGAAAAACTGGATTTCCACATGTCAAAGGTTAAATCTAGACCCATGCCTATCACCATGCACAAAGCTATAATCAAAATGGATCAAATATTTAAATATTAAAACAAAAATACCAATTTTTTTATTTGCAGTACTAGGGATTGAACTCAGGACCCTACACTTGCCAGACAGAAGTTTTTTCTATTGAGCTATCTCCCCAGCCCTAGAAACACTAAAGCTTCTGGAGGAAAATGTAGGTAGAAATATTAAAGACATAGGAGTAGGTAGAGAGTTCATGAACAAAAACCAAACTGCACAGGAAATACTTCAATGAATCAACAACTGATCTCATCTTTTTGAGGTTTCTGCACTTCAAACTAAATCTCAATCAGAGTAAAAAGAAAACCAACAAACTGGGAAAAAATTATAGCCTACTGTCCCTCAGAAAAAGGCCTTCTATCTAGAACATACAAATAATTTAAAAAAATCAAGACCCCCAAGTTCAATGACCCAATGCAACAAAGGCCTCTGAGATGAATATACACTTCTCAGAGGCAGAAAGACAAATGGCAAGTAAATATTTTAAAAATGTTCAACATCATTGTCATTCAAGAAATACAAATTAAAACAACACTGAGATTCCATTTCACCCCAGAAAGCATGGCTAACATCAAGAAGTCAGCCAATAACAAATTCTGGAGACACTATTAAATCTATCTATCTATCTATCTATCTATCTATCTATCTATCTATCTGTCTGTCTGTCTGTCTGTCTGTCTGTCTGTCTGTCTGTCTGTCTGTCTGTCTTCTGTCTGTCTATCTATCTATCTATCTATCTATCTATCTATCTATCTATCTATCTATCTATGTTTTTGCACTGTTGGTGGGAGTGCAAACTTGTACAACCACTATCGAAATCAGTATGGAGATTTCTTTAAATGCTAGGATTGGACATCATATTCAAGCCAGCTATTCTCCTCCTGGGTATTTTTCCAGAAGAACTGAAAACCTCACACTACAGTGCTATATGCGTACCCATGTTTTTAGTGGAGCAATTTGTCATAGCTAAATCCTGGAAACAACTGAAATGCCCATCAAATGAACAATGGATAAGGAAGATATGCTATTTTTACAAAACTGAGGATTATTTAGCTATAAAACAGGATAAATTTGAGTCCTTTGTTGGTAAATGGATGCAACTACAGAACATACTCTTACAGGAAATATATCAGACCCACATGTACAAACATCATATTGTCTCCTTAGTGTGGAAAGACAAAAATGGAATGTGAAGGATGCAATAGATATGATAGATTCTCTTTTGATAATGAACTTATTCAAAAGGAAAGTTACTGATTTGAGGAGGGGTAGTGAGGAAAACTGATTTCTTTATGTATGTAAGTAGGATGGTTTGGGCAACTGTACTGTGCATTTCTGCTGGTCAATGGAAAGGAGCAGTTAATGCTATAATTTTTCATCTCTTTTTTTCTCTCTTTTTTTCATCTACATTTTTTCTCCTTTTTAAAAAATATGTGATACTTTTCTTGCTTTTTTTGGGTCTCTTCTTCCATTTTTGCTTGCATATATCTGATAATATGAAAACTTGTTGGAAGACAACACTATGCACACCTAATACTATGAAATTTATATTACTTTGTTTAATGAAACCTGTATCAGTTGTAGTCTTTTATTTTAATTATAGCTTGTACTCGCTTAAAAAAACAAGTCTCTTTCCTTTCCTTCCATGCTTAGTGTGAAGACTGGAGCTACTACAAGGAAGTAGAGGTGGCTGTGAAGATCAAGTTCCTCTGAGGAATTGGTGCACTGAACACTTGCTTATCTCCTTTATATACCTTTTTTTGGATAAGCCACTCTGAGTTGGGCCTTCCATGTCCCAAAAAGGAACCTCGAGGAGCTCATCCAGCCAAATTTTCAACTTCCCCAGTTGACGCACTACATCAACCACCACACAAGTTGACCAGGGTTTTTGTGTCCCTTATAGGCTCCACCATGACATTCACATTTCTAACAAGATTCAGTTCCTTGAAGGTTATTGGCCTGAGCATTTTAGTTCCTCACTTGCTACTGCCATATGGACCTCTTCAACATGGAGGTTTGTAATTACTTAACGTGCTGAAGAGGCCAACAAGGGAGAAGCCATTGTATCTCGTAATTGCTTAGTGTTCTAGGCTAATTAGCGTAAAAGTACCAGAGAAGGAGTGGCTTACATTGCAGAAATGTGTTGTCTCATAGTTTGGGTAGCTAAAATTTAAGATCAAGGTGTTGTTAAGGTCATTACGCCTCTAGAAAAGATTACTGTATCGTATCATATCGTAGTGTATCGTATCATATCGTATTCCATTCTATTGTATTCTATTTCGTTCCCTTCTGTTCTATCCTATTTTTTCTCTGAATTTCCAGCATTGCCAGCAGTCACTCCAGTCTCAGCCTCTGTCCTCATGTGGGATTCTATGTACCTGTCTGTCTCTTCATCTGCATCTGCAGTTCTCTTCTCTTTGTCTGCCTCTATGCATCTATCCATTTCCAATAAGGTCACATTCATAAGTATTGGGGACACAACTCTTTGCCAGACAAATATAAGCTTAATGCAAAATGAATCTGTTCTATGTAGTGTTATAGACTGAACACTTCCAACCTCCAACCCTAATTTGAACATACAAATAAAGTTAAATGAAATAAACAGGATGCAGTTTTTTGTGCATGTGCTTGATATTGAACTTACAACCTTATACTTGCCAGGCATGTACCTGTGACATTGATCTTTATTCCTGGCCCAAAAGGATAGAACTTTAAAACTATAAGATTCATGCTTCTTTAACAAAAGCAAGAGATACTACAAAAGATTGAAACTGAATTCACATCTATTACTATATATTAAACTAAAATCAAAATAGATTGAATATCTAAATATTAAAAGAGTAAAATAGAATCTACTAGAAGATAAAATAGCTAACACACTTGAAATCATAGTGGTAGAACAAGATTTTCTTAGCAGAACAACATTTGCACAAGGCACCACAGCAATAATTGACAAATGGGATCTAATTTTTAAATCAGAAAATTCTACACAGCAAGTGGATCAATTAGTAGAGTGAAATGTCAACCTACAGAATAAGAATTTTTTCGTTTACCTTCTAGTATCTTCCCAGCAGAAGCTCAAGATGTCCTGCTACAATGAAACATGAAGCGCAATGCTTATAGTAGCAGAATCTACAATAGCTAAATACTGAAAGGAATCTATATACCCATCAACAGGTAATGGGAAAAAGAAAATGTGATATCTATACACAACAGAATAATATTGGCTATAAAGCAGACCAAATTAGAGACACTTACATGAAAATGGATGCACCTGGAAAATACAATGTTGACTGAATAAATCAGATGCACAGATTAAAAAATGGTAGCTTTAATTTGAGCAAAGCAATGTAAAAATATAAAGAACAGAACAAAGTATAAATAGAACAGACAAAGGGCTGGATCTCTTGCAAATAGGAAGGGATCCAGGAGGAGGAGAGGGGGAGGGGAAGCAAAAATAAAAATAAAGATGTACCTGTTCAGGAACCTACTGACCTCAGTGCACATAAATATTATATGTGATATACATGAGATAAGATTAATAATATCCACAAGAATAAAACTGAGAAAGTGGATTTAAAGGAGGAGGAAAGGAGATAGGCGAGAAGTGCAAGGGGATTAAGTGGAATCCAAGTTTATTACGTCCACGTACCCACTCCGCAACATGCTTGTAAACTTCATGTGCTGTAAATATTTATTACTAACAGACAGCAACAGACAGAGCCACAAAGACAGAGAGAGATGGAGACAGAGGTAGAGACTTGGAAATCCGTTTCTGCAGAGGAACAGTCACTGAAGCCCCAGCAAGACTGTCCATGTCTCCCAGCCAAGAAGAGCTCTGGTCTCTGATCAGCAACTGAATCTGCCAGCACCTTGGTCTTGGTTTTCCAGCCCCAGTAACTACCTTCCATTGTTTAAACAACCAGGTAAATAGGATTTTGTGTGGCAACTCAGAAAAAATTCTGTGTCTCAGTAACTTTCTCCTGCTGGGCACAATGCCGGAGGCCTAAAATTTAAAGACAGAAAGATTTAATTTGATTCACAGTTTTATCCATGATTGACTGAGTCGGAAGCAGAAATATAATGGCAAAGGGATATGTGGAAAGAAGTTATTCAAGCCATGGAAATTAGAAAGTGAAAAGAAAAGGGCACACCTGGGGACAAGACAAACACCTTCTCAGGTCACACCCTCGTATTCTCCCTAGTCCAGCCGGGCCCTATGCTAACAGCATGCTCAGCTACTCAACTATACACATTTTAAAGCCACTGAAAAATGCAATTAAATGCGTGATTAAAAAATGTCACTCTGTTCGATCCCTGGCATGCAGTGCCAGCCCTGGCTCCTGGGCGTGCTGAGACTGTGACTGAGACTGGGCATGGTGACGCACGCCTGTAGTCCTAGTGCTTGGGAAGCTAAAGACAGGAGAATCACTGCACGTCCGAACTGTGTAGTGAGATCCTGTAGCCCTCATACTAAAAACATAAAGAAAAAATAAAAAAATAAAAATGTCACTCTGGAAGTTATGAAGAATCAATACACTATACTGAGGCAATTAACATGGAATTTATTATTAACAAAAATGATAAATTCTAATATAAAGACATATAATATATATATATATATTATAAAGACTTAAAATAATTTTTTTTTGTATTTAGGACAGGGTATACAGGGTGTCACTGCATGGATTGGACTCGTAGTGATCCTCCTGTTCATAGCCTCCCAAGAGCTGGGATTACAGGCAGGCAGCACCTCGCCCAGTCTCAATAGCCACCTCAGTGCACCCTGGGGGCGGGGTTAAAGCAATATTTAAACAAGCATATTTAATAAAAGAAGAAAGGGATTAGCAACACACGGAAGAACCTGGAGTGGTTGTTGAGAACTTTGCATGTAGAGAAAACACACTTTCAAAGTTTGATATTAGCCAAAGAATCTGGACCATCACTTCACTTTTCTAAAAAATTGACCAGTCTGATAAAAATAGATATTTATCATTCATATGGATCTTCATATTTCAGTTATAAATATTTGTGTCCTTAATACTACACATCCTTTAACATACAACAGAACAAAATTATTAGCAAGAATTCATATCAGCACGAGATGAAATTTCACAGTTGAGATAAATTTGCACCTTTTAATTTTTTGTAAGAGATGAGTGCTGTAAGGGACTACTCTCTGAAACCAGACTTCAGGTGTTCCTTTTGATCAAATATCCATCACTCCCTAAAAATCTGAGCTCTTATTTGCCGTGTCTTATTCTGAGCTTCCCTTTGAAAAGAGTACTGCACTTAAGCAGAATTGCAGCAAATTGGCAAGTTGTTTAATGGTTTGGAAAACTCTCACAGTTGACCGAATTGAAAATAACACACTCATTATTATTTATGACCGTATATCTAGTCTTTAGAGGTCAGATTATTGAATTCACTGAATGTATTACTCTTTTCATCTCAGCAAAGTCATTTCTGTGACTTTTTGTTACATAGACTTGTAGAATTCAAGAAAGCCAATTTCTATAGGTTAAAATTGCATAAAATGCACATAATTTAAGAATTTACAGTTCCAGGAGGTTGGATTAAATTAGTTTTTTAATAAAAGCACTTGGGAGAAAATTGTAACAATTTGCTTTCCAAAATTAAAAAAGGGGAATATGGCATGATAGGTTTATGGGTTAATAAATATGAAATTAAGAGTGCCAGCCAGATAGCTCAGCAGATTAAAGCACTTGGTTAGGCAGATGCAGGTACCAGGGTTCAGTCCCCTGTTTGCAGTGCTGACCCTGCTTCAGGGTCTTGCTGAGAATGCTACTGAGACTGGGTGTGGTGGCACATGCCTGTAATCTCAGCGCTGGGGAGGCTAAAAATAGAGGATCGCTATGAGTCCAGACTGAGTAGTGAGACTCTACAAAAAAAAAAAAAAAAGAAAGAAATTTTAAAAACTACATTGAGGGGACAACCTTCTCGGGCCTCCCTCCTGTCCCTTTCTTGGAAAAGAGCATTCTTTCCCTCAATAAATATATTCTTCTCATGAAAAAATAAATAAAATAAAAATAAAAAATAAAAAATAAAAATACATTGAAACATTTCTTGGACCTGAGCAAAGCTATGAGGAATGGTAATCTACAAATAATTATTGAAAATACTCCAGAGATTAATAGTAGTGCAACTTTAGTAGTACAAAATATAACCCGTATTTGTTGATGTTTTAGTAATTTATAGTTTTAGTGTCAGCATCTGAGAGCAGCATGTGAGAAATGCAGAACATTTTAGCTTAAAATATTTTATTTATTTATTTATTTATTTATTTATTTATTTATTTTTGCGGAATTTGGGATTGAACTAAAGTCCTTGTGCTTGCCAGGGAAGCCCTTATTCCACTGAGCCATCTCCCTTGCCCCTAAAATACTGTATGTTTAATATAACTCTGGGCTATTTTAATAACCAGAGGAAAAAGAGATAAATTATGGAATTTAAAATCTTTTGAATATTGTAAAATATCAAAACAGGAATTTTTTTTTTCAGAACCGGGGATTGAACTCAGGCTCTTGCACTTGCCAGGGAAACACTTATTCCACTGAACCATCTCTCCAACCCCTCAAAACAGGAATTTACAACCTCAGGAATATTTTATTGATACTAAGGGGAAAACAAAAGAGTTCCATCATGATAAACCTGTCTAGTTTCTTTTACATGAAAAGCTAATTATTTTCAGAAAATAATAGAAATCTCTACTGACTTATTGGTCATGAATTCTATGTTGCAATGAATAATAATTTCCAAATGAATAATGCAAATATTATAACAATTTAAGAATATTTTACCTTTCGATCAGTCCTTCCTTCTATCTTTACTGTGCTCACAACCGGTTAACTACACTTTTTACACAACCATAATTAGCTCTTTGTCATAATATTAAAATAAGAAACCTGTATGTATCTATGCTGTTACAGGATACCAAATGATATCTGCAGGTGGTTTGGTAGGAACAAAACCACAGATCAGGAACAGAGTGGAAGATGGAGGTAGAAACGTTCCGCACAGCCACTGCCCGCCCCTCACAGCACCGCATGCACTCCTCCTGCCAGATCAGCAGCATTCGCTTCTCGGAGGTTCAGGACTGTCATGTGAGCAACACAGGCAGAAGTCTGGGTTGCAAGCTTCTTATGAAAATCTAATGCCTAATGTTATCAGGTGGAGTTCAGGTGATGATCCGAGCCCCGGAGAGGAGTGGTGAAGACAGTTTCACAATAGAAGAGAGGTTTGACAGAAAAGAGACCATAATAAATTCATTACTTCAAGACTCTGATTAAAACCCTATTGGTTCATGACAAAAACCAAAAAACAACAAGTTGAATTTGGTAACAAGCTTAGATAGGCAAGTGAGTTGATGTGATTCAATTCTACATTTGTTTCTGGTGGCAGACTTTTGGTCAGAACCTTGTACTCATCTTATTCTGCCCATAATGGCCTGCATAATATTTCATTTACCATTTGTAGCCATGCTTTGTTCCTATACTACACACGTCTCAAACAATTTTGGTAAGCTCACAAGCTAATGCTAACTG